CATTTGGACAAGAGAAGCTTCCATGAACATGCTATAGAAGCCTTCCAGTGCCTAAAGGGGCCTACAAGGAAGACGGAGACAGACTTTTTACAAGGGCACCTAGTGACAGGACAAGGAGGAATAGCTTTACACTGAAAGAGGGTAGGTTTAAATTAGATATTAGGAAGATATTGTAAGGGTGATGAGGCACTGGAACAGGTTGCTCAGGAAAGCTGTGGATGACCCATCCCTGGAAGTGCACAAGGCCACATTGTAATTAGGTAAGTGTAAAGATCTCTCTAACCCAAACCAGTCTATGATTCTGTGAGTCTATGATTTTTTTTTTCCTGGTGTCAGAGTAATATTAAGAAATCAGATAAAAATAATTAAAAGCAAGAAACAAGTTTCACAAGGGAGACACAACCAGGGGATCCACCGACACAAAAGGCAAAGGGAAAGTTTCAGCACTGGAAGATAAAAATGTGAAGCAAACAATGGTGATTTTGTGGTAATAGCAATGCATTCCCCCTGCTATATCTCCCTTACCTTTGAGGAGGGCTGCAGTGTCTCTTTATTGAGCTGTGGCTAGCTGCTATATCCAACAGCTGACAGCAGCCAGGCCTGTTGTTGTCCCACCACCCTAGAGCCACTGTGAGCACTTTGCCAGCCACAGTCCTTTGGGAATTGCCCACAAACAAACTGCTTTTCAAAACTGTTAAAGTTAAAATGCCTCCATCTCTCTGCCAGCCCCCTGTGAGGAGTCATGCTCACTGGTCTCATGTGGCTCGAACTGCCCTCACCAGCACACATCATGGTGCGTGCTCTCCCCTCCAGCTTTAACCACACAAGGGTGGCTGTGTGACACTCTTTCCAAGCTCACAGCTAAAAAGCCTCTGCTGGACATGGTTAGGAGGATTTACCCCCCTTCCTTGATTGCCTCGGGCACGGCTAGCGAGTGTATTTCCCCAAAAGAGAGCAGTATGGTTCAGCTGACAGAGCTCGACTGTACAAATCCAATCTAAGCTCGGTAAAGCTCGTGTCACACCGTTTGGGGGCTCCCAAGGGAATGAAGGGGCTGGAGAGCCCTTCACGGGTCATTTGGTCTCATAGCCTGGCAGCTATGCATGCCTGTGTCACCCTAGGGACTGGGCAGTGACTCATCACAGCCCTCCAGTGCCATCCACAGAGCTGCCATGGGGCAGCCACAGCCTCGGTAAAAGCAGTGCTGCTGATTAGTCCCATCAAAGCCTGTAGGGGCACTTTCACCATCCCCTGCCAGGCCAAGGATGGTACTCTCACCCCTCACACCTGATGGGTATGAGGGCTCTCTACTCCCTCCTACCACCCTCACCCACAAAGAGCTTAGCCTGCACAACTGCAGGCAGGAGAGATGATCCAGGCAGCCCAAGTCCCAACACATCCTTCTTAAGTAAATTCTTAAAAATAGGTAGATAAGTTCTGCTCTCCACAGGATCTCCTCTTTTCCTTCCCACATACAAACCAGCCTGTGGCCACTCTGATCTGTGGGTGCATAAAGAGGAAGGACACTTTGTCTCCTCCTGCTAGGGCCACAGGTCATACATGCAGCTAAGGGAAACCTCAGCTCTGCTGCTGAGTTTCCTGCACCCTCCTGACAACTCCCTGCCAGCCCCATTTGCTGTGCCAGAGTGGGTGATGAGCACAACCCAACCTCCAGAGACAGAAGATACACTGGCATCACTTGCACCTCAGCGACTACAGTCTGAGGAGAAATGTACCTCAGAAAACTTGATCTCAGACCTCAAGGAAAGCCACATGGCAGAGATGTGGCAGGATTTATAGCCGTACCCTGGTCATTCATGCTGTGCCTACTGGCAGTGATCCCTGGAGAAGGATGCTTCCCATTATTAGTCTCCTTTCCAGCTTCTTCCCTTCATTTCAGGTTTAAGGCACTTTATTTAAAGGTATATGTTTGTTAAACCTTCCCTTTCTTAAAATCATCTCTGCTTTGATAATTTTTTCAACTGTTTGCTGTGTTGGTTTTTTTGTTTTGGTTTGGTTTTTTTGTTTGTTTGTGGGGTTTTTTTGTGGTTTTTTTGTTTGGTTGGTTGGTTGGTTTGGTTTGGGGGTTTTTGGTTTTGTTTTGCTTTGTTTTGTTTTTTTAGTGGCAGCTTTCTATCTGCTGGACAAGCAGCCCCGGCCGAGGCATCTCCCCGCGCTCGGCCGCAGCGGCGGCACCCCGAGCTCCCGGCGCCCCGCTTCGCCCCCAGGCAGGAGCAGCTCCATCCCTCAGCCAAGCGTGCCCTTGCTGCGCCAAAATTGGCCCAGGCGCCTTCGGCCGCGCCCCTTTGGCAGAGGAGCAGCCTCGGGCAGCCTCGGAGGGTACGGGCGGCGAGGCCCTCGCCCGGCGCCGCGGGGTCCCGGGGCAGGGGGCGGGCGGGAGGAGGTGGCCAGCCCGGGCCCGCCCCGCGGCTCCGCGCCGGGAAGGCGGCGGGAGGGAGCGGGTCGGGCCGGGAGTCAGCGGGACCGGGACCGGGACCGGGACCGGGACCGAGGTCTGCTCGGCGGCAGCGGCGCCCGACGGGCCGGGGTAAGTGCTGATTGCTGCCGCCCGCTCCCCTCTCGCCGGGTGCCGGCAGTCCCTTCTCCCCTCCCTGCCCGGTTCTCCCAGCCCCGGCCCCCGCCGGGGCACACGGCAGCCGGCCCGGGGCACCACGGGGAACGCGCAGCTCCGCTGCCCCTCCGGTGCGGGAGCAGCGGGAGCGGAGCAGCACCGCAGCTGGAGACCAGCCCAGAGCCACCGCCACACCTGACCCCGCGCTCGGACCCGGAGCCTTCCCCGCCCCCGGAGCTGCCGTGTGGGCCGGGACAAGCACCCGGGCCCCTCCGAAGCGGAGACCCACGAGAGGAGCGTCCTTTCCCCCCCCCCCCCCTTTCCCCTCCTTCTGCTCTTCCCCACGGCTGCGACCCTTGTCCCCATGGCAGTCCTGGAATCGCAGGGTCGCGGGTGTCCTGCCACCCCTCCGGGAAGGTATCCAGGTACTGGTACGAGCCTGCCCTGGCAGCGCCCTGGCCAGGGGCAGAGTGAGCAGGACTGAGGCGGGGGTGGGGGGGCGGGCCGGCTGAGGACAGTCCAGGGATGAAGGACCTGGCAGGGCTGGGAGGGATCTTGGGAGGGAAGACTGACTTTGGGGTGAGAGTTGAAAATAGTGCCTGTGGCTATAAGAAACAGAAGACAAAACAGGAAACCCACAGCCAAACTGTGTGTTGGGATGCCTTATGTCTTCTGGTTATGTATATATTATAGGTGATGTTTTGTTCATTTCCTGTTCTGGCCTTGCTTATCACCTAGGCAGCTGCTTTTTCCAGCAGTACAGTACCAGCCTTTCCTGGCTCCAGACAATACAGAATTCCCAGAGTGGGAACTGTGTCTGTGCAAGGGACACAGTAAATGAATCCTGTCTTTGGGTGGCTGCAGCAAAACTGTTTTATGAACAGTCCTGGCCAGCAGCAGTACTCATGCTACAAGAGATCTTCGTGATCCAGTGGAAAGCTTAACTTCTTTGTTAGGGTTGGGCAGAAGAAAGATAGAGGAGACAAGCACAAGCCGTAAGAGATTGTTTCACCCCTGTTCTGAGGGATCTGTGTTTGCAAGACATGGGGAAGTTCAGTTTCCATCTCATTCTACCCTTGTCCTCTCCCAGCTACAAAGCATCAGGGGAGAGTGGCACCAGTTTTAAGGATGAGTATATCCCAAGGGGCTGGAGCAATTTATACCCATGGCACAGCTACTCTTCCAGAAGCATAGCTGTGCAGCAGCTGTGCACCACAGATGCTGCTGTTCAAGGGGTGAGGTGAAACAGAGTCATATTTTTACCACTGGCATGGCAATGCTTTGTCCTTGCTTTTCATACCTGTCATACTGATGATGAGTTCAGCAACAGGAGCAGTAGCAAAGGAAAAAAAGATACAAGCCATTAAATGTCATGGAACAACCTCAGTACAGCAGCTTTCGTATTTCTGGGGAAAAATCCTCCTCTTAAATCAAGGAAGGGTAGGTTACTGAGAACAGACTTGAATCTATTGTAACAAAAAGAAATGCAGAGCACCCTCCATGCATCTTTTCAGTATTTCATCCCAAATATCAAGCTAGTTTGCTTTTCAGCACAGGAAGCACATCTTCTGGCCAGGCATAGAAAACACAGACACAGTATGGATGTAATGGGAGCAGCACCAGCAGTCAACCCTTTACAAAGCAGGCAGGGCTTGGGACATGCTGCAGGAAAGGAGGAATTCTGGAGGTGGTGCTTGCTGCCAGGCTGCCAAACACTTGAGTGTGTGAGGTTATTGAAGATAGTTTTTGATGAGTGAAGGAAGATGATACTTCCCAGAAGAAAAGATGCAAGTTCCAAATTTTGGCCAAGCCCTAGTATGTTTGGGTATCTATGCTGGGTCTTGCTCATCATTTCAAATTGTTGTCTTTCAGGCTGCACTCTTGCCCAGCTGACTTGTGGCTTTGGTGTGGCTTTGGTGCATCTCAAAACCATTGTCCACTTTCCAAACAGCTGCATTGATTGGTAAGATCCACCTTTCACATGCACACAGGAGGTGAAATCTTGCGTTCTTCACTTGGTTTAGATTCAGTGAAAAACCGAACAGGCCAACCAAGTCTTTAAGCAAAGCTCTGCCTGTATATGGGCAGAAAAAAGACCTTTCTGATTGGCTTGAAGGAGAATTCATACAGAAAGTATAAAAATCATATTAGTAGCCACAGAGGGTACTGTTTTCCACAGTCATTGCAGAGCTCTGATTTTCAGTCCTCTCTCTTTCTCTTTGCTGTGGCAGCCCCATGGCCCTCTTCACTAGAGCCAGCAGCCATCCTAACGGAACAGACCCCATTCCCTGTGGGGCAAACAGCACCACAGAGCCTGAGCTGCCCCATTCACACGCCTACTACGCCCTCTGCTACTGCATCTTGATTCTGGCTATCATCTTTGGGAATGTGCTGGTCTGCTTGGCTGTGCTGAGGGAACGCACCTTGCAAACCACAACCAACTACCTCGTGGTGAGCCTGGCAGTGGCAGATTTGCTGGTGGCTACTTTGGTGATGCCATGGATGGTGTACCTGGAGGTGAGTACCTGTCAGAAATGGTCAGCAGAATTGAACCACACCACTGCATGCGTGGTCATGTTCCCAGTGAAGGCTGTAGCAACACTTAGACTGATCTGTGGGGAACAGCCCTGGAGCTGTCCTGCAGGCTGTGTACTGCTTGGGTATGCTACATGGATTAAAAAAAAAGGAATAAGTGTGTGTGTGTGTGGGAAGCCATCCCAGCAAGATAGAATTAGACTCTTCAGTTTGATTGCAACTAAAAAATATTATTAAAAGTCGAGTTTTATTTCAGACTGGAATAGTCTATCAGTTCAAGTGCATTCCAATCCTTAATGAAATCACATTATGCTTTGCTTTAGAAAATACTTGGCACCCACTCTTGCTGTGGACAGTGTGGGACTGAGGCTCATCTGTAGAGCAGTCTCTGCCCCATACAATGGTTATGATTGGTGAGCACAACAGTAGGTACATTTCCTAGTTGTGTTTGTAGACCTATTCAAGGCTAATTTCTATCTGTGGAGCTTGGATAATCAAAGCAGCTGATGTAAGAGTCATCCAAACAACAGCGAAGAGAACTCATACACATCCCAAACCCGAACCACCAATCCTGGCATTGCACAGGACTTCCTGTAGGGCTGTAGGACTCCAGCAAGACTAAGAATTAGAAAACAGTCCAAAAAGCCCCAAAGTTTTTTCAATATTTGCTGCTGTTTATGGATCAGCAATGCCATCAATGAAGCAGAAATGGCATCATGCTTCAATACACCATGAGCCTGGAAGTTGCCAAAAAATCATTTAGTCCCTAAAACCGTGTAGAATACCTATTCATCTACTGAAGGTTTGCCAAACCAGACTTCAGAACTGGCCCTTATTTATGGAGAAGCTTAAGGTGGATGAATGCCTCAGATTTAAATGCCACTTGTGAAGTTTGTGCTTTACACTCCATTTTTAGAGTCATCAGTGGCCAGGAAATGTGTTATTTTATCAATCATGCAAACCAGAACTGTCTCTTTTTGAGATATCTTTTGGGAAGGCTGTGACAGAGCAGCAACAGGAACATTTTATAGCCTCAAAATCCTCATCTCCTCTTAAGGAGGTTTCTGGCACAGAAGTGTTATTCAGCAGTGTGTCTAACAATATTCTGGGGGCCAACATGTAGGTCTGACACAACCAATACTGCTGCCCTCTTCTTTACTGATCCCTGGTGCTATGGCTGCTGAAGCTCACCAAGGTTTCCAAGGCAGTGGCATAAGGGTATCCTGCCCTGAGTTTTGGGCATTAAACACATTGTGCCTTGTAGTCATTGCACAGACAGAGGAGGACATGCAGCAGCATGGCTTGGGAACACCCTCCTCAGTCTTCTCACAACATCCAGTTCTACCTCCAAAGGGGAAGAAAGCTTCAGGAGAAGGTTGTCACTGAGGTCTAATCTGCTGAGACCATGTGGGAGTCACACTGTCTCCTTATCCTGTCTCTCACACAGGAGCAGTGAGACCTAAGCTGCCCCGTGAGCTCCAGGAGCTTCACTGGACACTGGTGTCAGAGGGAGGACAGAGCCGAGTTTCTGCAGCTCAGCAGTCCTGACCACAAGTGCTCTTTGAACTCCCACCATGCAAACCCACGAGCAGCCAGCCATCTCACAGCTGCAGGAGCCAGCAGCAGCCCCAAGCATCAGCTCTCAAACACAAAACCCTTCAGGAGCCTGCTTAGATGCACCATGGCTTTCATGCCTGCTATTTCCTGATGCAGCTTGGTTTCCTACTTTCCCATCCATGTGCTCCCCACTCGCATCTGAATTCGTATCACCATTCGTATCCGAATTGTGGAGATTCTGTTGTTTATTTTAAGAATTCAGGAGAGTGGTGGATAAGCATAAATTTAAAAAAATAATCATTGGGCATTCATAAACTGGAAAGCTTCTTATAGAGTTTGGAAGTTAAAAATAATAACACCACAATTTTGTAGATAAAGCAGACTGGTCGTCAAGGGAGATTGGGTGGAAACCTGACCTGAATAGTCTATAGGGATCATTAGCACTGTGTTTGATAGAGCCAGGATTCCACCCTGGACACTATTCTGCTGCATAATCATTGAGTGGTAATGAGAGATCGTATCAGCTCATCTCTCTGTAGTTTGCTCTCATCAGCTTTAAGAGATTAATATTTGACCATCCACCTCACCCAGGCAGATGTGAGGATTCATTCAATTAAATACCTGCAATATCCTTTGAGATTCCTGGACAAAAAATACTGGAGAGATAAAGAAGAAGTACCCCGCCAGCACATGAAAACCAGAAATGCAGACTAGCAGGTTCTAGCTGCTGTAGCAAAGATGATTAGAACAGAGCAATAAAAGAAAGAGCAGAAATAGAATTTTAAAAATTTTGAACAAGGCATATAATAAAAAGGCTTTTCTTCACTGTTAAATTCTGGAATAAATTTTGGGTTTGTATACCCCACAGGTAAACATTAACTACTTCATTAACTACTCCAGCAGAGCTACTCCCCATTTCAGAAGTGGCAGGTAGAAGTGAGAACAGGTTTTAAGCCCAAACATTTTGATCTGTCAAGCATCCTCTTACACAAGCTACAGTCTAGTATGCAGGTGGTGTGATCTGACAGCATCATCCTGAGAGGGCTCACTTCTGAGCCATCCCCACCAGCACCTGCTTCAATGTTAATGGTTCACATTCTTGAGCTCAGCATTTTAACATGCTCAGGACCTTGGAAACTCTCTCAGTTAAGTGCATGTTCATCTGCTGGGTTAGCAGCAGCTGGCTTTCATGTGAACACCTGCCATTGGCTTTGTAAAATATTCTTCAGACTCCACAGCACACAGAAACTGCATTGCTTTTTGCCTCAAACTGCAGAAACATCCCTTACTGGGTCCCACTGCAAAGGCTCCCAGCATTTTTTAAATATATTTTATTAAATATTTTGAGGTGGTCAAGCAGATCTCAAAATCTGAAACTAAAGTAAAAACAGTGTAGTGTTTCTTTGGAAGCTGAACCTACCCATTAAAGTCCCTAATCTCAGATGGTCAGCCTTCAGTCTGCATGTCTTGTAGCTCACCTAACTGTGCAGAAAAACTCAATGGTTTGGTTTGACTTTTTCCCCTTTACTTACTTTTTTATAAGAAAACAAAGGAGCACCACCATTATCAAGAGAACTGGAGAAGAAAGCACAGTTCCCTTCTGCATTCTGCAAGCCAATTCCCATTTCCTTCCCCTGCATTCATTCAGGGTCAGAGGGTCTAATGGAAGACTGCCTCATTCAATACCTGATTTCTGAAATGTAGCAGCTGGGTCCAGCAGAGAGCACCCTAAAGACACAGCTCACTTCAGCAAGTTTCTGTAGCCATGTGTGGGAATGCTGCCACTTTGAAAACCATTTACATTTCTTGGAATTATTTCTTAAACAATTCTCACAGAGTGAATTTTATATTTGTACAAATGTTTTTCTCTGCAGGGGGCTGCATCCTTTCTAGGCACCAACACTCACAGGGTTGATCCACTGCCTGAGAAGCCAAGTTTACTTGTGGCACCTTCTCCAGTATGGTCTGGGATGGGTATTTTTGAATAGGTTTTGAAAAGCTCCAAAGATGGATCCTGCACAGACTTACCAAGCAACTGGCTCCACTGTCCCACTGCCGCTGTAGTCAGAAAAGTAACCTTCATGACCAGTTTGCACCTTTCTTCCAGCTCATTCCTGTAGCCTCTTGTCCTCCCACCGCACCACTGATGTGAAAAACCCAGCTCCATCTTCTTAGCAATTTGCCTTCAGCTATTTCAATAACCTCCCACTAGGTTGCAGAGGGCTGCTAGTCTCCCACCCCTCAGAGCCATCTCTTTTCCAGACTGAAAAAGTCCTGCTCCCTTAGCTGGTCCTCACAGCTGCCCCAACCCCTGTGGATTGTTTTGGTGGCTCTCCACTGGACTCACTCCTTTTTATCAATGGTTTTCCTCTACTGATGCCTTAAAACCAGGTGCAGTATTCCAGATGTGTCTAAATGTCAGCAGAGAGACCAGGAACTAGTGGCAGTTTTTGATTGCCTCCCAGGACCCATCTGAAACAGCAGGATCTACAGGGCTGAAGGCTAAATCCAGGCTCTTTCCCAAGCATGGACTTTCCCCGTTTTCTCTCCTCCCCCATTCAGCACAGGACTGGGTTTGTTTGCAGCTGAACAAGGAAGCAACCTGCCCTCCATCTCCTACAAGGAGTGGGCACTGAGACAGACCACCTCCCTTGGAATCAGGCTCTCATCCCAACCCCAAGGACAGCAGGGACATGCTTGGAACATGCTTGTCAATCAAAAAGGTCATTGTCCAGAATTTGGTGGCTGCTCCAAAACCCACTTTTCTCCATTGCTAAGACTGGCTGTGGCTGAGCTTTCACAACCACGCACTTCAGATTGAAAATTTAAAACAACCAGAACAGCAGCTTGGTAGCAACTCAAGCCCCTTTATCTGAGTGGCCTGTGAGTTCTCACTCAGATCTAATAATCAAAATCTGTAACTGAGATAAGAATTCAAATAAGGTTTTTGAGAAGCCTCAGTCTCAGATCTCAGTTTCATACATAAATGCAAAAAAAATTGCAGCACTTTTCCAGCTTGCTGCCTGCAAGAGCACTCTTGCAGCTAATCTGAGAAAGACTTTCAGCCCTTAGATTTTCTCAGATAATCATTAATCAAAGGATAAATACAGTGATATCAAATTTAAATCAATTTTTCATGTTAGACTTTGAGAGAAGGGATAGCTGCTGTTTCTTCTCCCTTCCTCCCTCTGCAAGAGCAAATAAAGGATTGAAATTAAAGTGAGGCTCCTTCACTACACCCTACTACTGTGTTATCTTGCACACAACACAGATGCCTCAGTTTCCCTCTGCCCATCACTGTGAAGCTCCTTCAGCTGCTGAGATACTTGGAGGAGAGCAGCTCCTCTCACAAAACTTGTCAGGACCTGGTGCAGAGCAAGGCTGACAGTTTTGTGTCACTGGCACAGGTGACCGGAGGGGTCTGGACGTTCAGCCGTATCTGTTGCGATATCTTCGTCACCATGGATGTAATGATGTGCACAGCCAGCATTCTGAACCTCTGTGCCATCAGCATTGACAGGTGAGACACAGCAGTATCCAGGGGGACAGCCTGGATATGGGGGCAGCCCTGTGCCCCACTGGGGCAGGGACAAAGAAGTGGGGTGAGCACAGACAGCATTGGTGTCTTCCGAACAACAAACCCCTCAAGGTCTGTCCCTGCCACTACTGCTGTTAGTGTGGCTCTGCTCACATTGTGCAAGAAGAGGTCTGTTCTGGAGGGCAGGGAGACACAAGTAATAAAACATCCCCAGCAGATGGTCAACCACATCCTCAAGCTTTTTAAAGGCAGGAACCACAATTGGTCATCCAAGTCCCACTGAGTGTCGAAGAGGGTTTCTCCTTCTGGAGATCTCACTCGTGAAGCTTTAATAAACAAAATCCTACCATATTCACAGGGAGAGATGAAGATTATTGCTGCATAATCTTGAGCTTTGCTCTGATTTTCTGCATTTTAAAACTGAGCATATTTTAAGCAATGCTGAGGGCTGGGAGCCAAAACCTTGGCACATGTGATCCTACTGGGACCAAGGAATGAGAGAAGGGAAAAATACTGCATGCTATACCTTTGTAATGCGTGGTTCAAGGATGATAATGCAAGGCTGCTCTCAGTGCTGCTTTGGACTGGTGGTCCTCCATGGGAATCTGTACCCCCATTTCAGTTTGGCTCTGTCTGCAAGACATAGCCCCCAGGCTCTCCTAAAGATGAGACTCCTGTGCCTTCCAACTCCTTGCCCTGCTGAGCTGCATCTCCTGGAGCACCCCAGCAAGTGAAAGTCCTTGACGACCTGCCCCCAGGCAACGTTCTGCCTGTCAGGCTAACACCAGACCAGGCAGCTGAGACAGAGAGTTTCGTATTTTGTGGTTACGCCAGAGAGTGCTCTTTCACGGCAGTGCCCAAATAATTTTAGGGGCTTGAGGGCTAGGGATTTCCTGGAGTTTCTCGATCCATCTGGTAGCCCAAACCTTGTAGCTTTGCATGCTGTGGATTCTGCTGAGCGTTTCTCTGCACTGCTGCCAATTAACTCTGATTTCCTCTGTTCCTCCCCCAAATGCCCCGCTTACCATTTCTACAAATTGCTGTTCCCATCATCTGATTTTCTCTACTTTCCTCTTCTATTTCTTCACCACATTCACCATCATGTTCCCTGTGCTGCTTTCACTTATCCTTTTAAAAACCTGGTCCTTTCCCTCCCTCCTTCCTCTGTCTCCTCTTCCCGGAGCTGGTTTGGTCTGCAGGTACACCGCAGTGGTGAAACCAGTTCAGTACCAGTACAGCACTGGGCAGAGCTCCTGCAGGAGGGTCTCTCTCATGATTGTGATAGTCTGGATGCTGGCATTTGCAGTGTCATGCCCTCTCCTCTTTGGCTTCAATACTACAGGTAGGTGGTATCCTGAACTATAGCACACAAGAGGGGTTGGCAGTGGAGCTGCCTTATGTATGGCCAGGTTATTTTGCATGGGTCTTGCAGATTTGCCAAGTTACAGGAAATTTTAAGGAACTGGAAAGCACACTATGAAGGGAGAGAAAAACCCCCATAAAACCCCCACACGCTCTTGTCTATAAACTTGCCATTTGCTCAGGCAGACACTGACTATCGCTCTAAAGGGCAAACCTGCCTGTTCTACTGCCAAATCAATGCCCATCAAGGTGTCCAGGTCCTCAGAATCCTATCAAACAATCACTTTGAGTGCATGGAGCAAAACGTGCAGCACATACAGCACACACACACACACCAGATTTAATGGCATCTTGCCGATATCAACAGGTTCAGAAGCACAGTTTTGACACTGATACAGATACACTTCTAAACAGCAAGGATTGCATATTAGCATTGCTTATTAGAGACCTCCTTCCTATCCAGCTGGCTGTCTGCTTCCTTAACTAATCCCTTGAGGAGGGCAAACAATTTAGCCTCCACCTTGGAAGCAAGTTGGTCTTTTTCCTTTCCCTCAGCTAGGGCAACATAGTCGCCCTGGAGGCAGAGGAGCAGGGGAGCCTTCCTTCCCACTGAGTCACAGGCAGAAGCCTCTGCTCCCCATCCATCATCTCCCCAGTGCTTGAGGCAGGAAAAGGATGGGAGTGGGAAGTTCTGCTGCCACCCTCTGCCTGGTTCAGACAGGGGTGGATGCACACTCTGCATCTAGACAGCTCAGAGGATGTCAAAGGAATAGGAGAAAGGGTGGGAATAGACATGAGAGAAGAGAAGAGAGCAGAGCTGCTGGCCAGAGGAACAGTAGCCAGTGGCATGCTGGCTACTGCTAGATGGCCCTGTGTTGGGTTCATTTTAAGCATCACTTAGGTAATTGGGTAAGTCAGAGCATAATCTTCACTCCTTAGACTGCCTTTGACCCCAGTCACCTTTTGTCTCACTTTTGGGCTGTAACTGGCCAGCACACCAGAGCTTCCTTGTACTAAATCAAATCAGCTTAGCCACTCCCCTCTCTCTCTTCTCCTTCCCAGGGGATCCCAGTGTCTGTTCCATATCCAACCCTAGTTTTGTCATCTACTCCTCTTTGGTGTCCTTCTACCTCCCCTTCATGGTGACCCTGCTGCTCTATGTCCGGATTTACCTCGTGCTCAGACAGAGGCAAAAGAAGCGAACCCTCACCCGGCAGGGCAGCCAGAGCGCCAGCGCCAAACCGTGTTACGCACACCAAGTAAGAGCCACATGAATCCAGCAGGAGCTGTCAAAAAAGGAAAGGAATGCATCATCTCTTCTCAAAGGGTTAAAACACAGAAGAGAAAGCATAAGGAGGGGCATAACATGTTTTCATCCCATCCCTTGCTATACACCATGATATTTGAGGCGCAGAAGCTCCAGTTAAATCCTTTTCAGACCTCTAGAAAGAGAATATTCCCTGTGTATCTCTGCCCTCTAGAAGTAGCTAGAAGAGCACAGCCTATCTTAGTATTTCTTCAGAGCAGGGTTTTCTCAGCCATGCATAAGTCTTCATTTTTTGCATAAATTCTTCATTTATTGATTTTAATGTCTTCATTTATAGATTTTTGCTCTATGAAGCTTCACTCTCAGGGCTTCATAGGCTTTAACCTCTGTTATTAAAATAAAAAAACCCTCTTCATGTGACTGACTTAAGAGGGCAAAATACTCATGTGGCATGCAAATTTGTTCCACTGACCTTTCTAGATAAAATATCTGCAATATGGGAACCAGCACAACAGTTTGAAAGTAATTACCTGGTCATTCATATACACTGCTTTTACCCAATTTTGCACAGTGAAGCTACATTAAAAGAGTGGGGATGCTGAGGGGAGCAGAGCCAACACAAAAATACAGATGGGAGGTTAGCAGAGCAGGTATTCCTGCTCTTACTGTTCTCATGATTCTCTTGGGTGGGATGGAGGCAAAGAGTTGTCAACTGCTGGTTCACCCCCAGGTCAGTGCAGAGGACATGGTGCAATGTAAGAGGCAAGCGAGGCTAAAGATAACTCCTACAACTTCCCTCATCATCCTCTGGCCCAATGAGCAGTTTGGATGATTTCCAGTTCCTCTGTGGCATTGTCTTTTGCAGGAACACATGGAGAGGAAAGTTTTGCCAAACAGACGCCAAGGCGTGTTTTCCCCCTGTCTCTCGCTCAAATGCACAGGCCAGGAGATGTCTACAAAAAGAAGGTTGCTGACTGTCTTCAGCCTGCAGCGGTACCGAAGCTTCTGCCACGAGGCATCCCTCACCAAGGCACCAGGGACTACCCAAACCAGCAGGTGGGAAGAGAGGAGGAGGAGCACGAAGCCAGCAGTGGAGGTCCGGAGGCTCAGCAATGGTAGAACCATCAGCAGCTTGAGGCTGGCCCAGCAGCAGCCCCGACTGATCCAGCTGCGGGAAAGGAAGGCTACACAGATGCTGGCAATTGTCCTGGGTGAGTGAGAGCCATTCTGCCTGTGGGGTGCAAGGGGGTGATGGTTTGGGAATTCCAGGAGCACCGAATCTCCTAATACAATATTGAGATTAAAAAAAAAAATAAAAATGCAAGCTGTGCCTTGGCTTCAGCTATTACTGCATCACAAACTCAGGAGAGACAGTAGTGGGACATTTAGAGATCTAGAATAATGCTCCCAAATGTTGAGAGCCACCTATATTAGTGTTTTATTTATTATGTTTTGTTACTCTTTTGTTTAAAATCAGTGGCCAACAAGCACTTCTTGGGGGAGCAACAGCCAATACCTTTGCTTTTCCTTTTCATTTTACTATTACAAGGCTGGAACAATCCTAAGTTTCCATACATGCAGAAGCTCTTAGATCTGATTACAGGAGAAACTGGGGCAAGGAACTGCAGAGGAGCCCGTTCATACAGCTGGGTAGAGAAGCCAGGAGACTGGAGTCCCTGTCACCTGCTGTGGTCACCAGATGCACCATTCCCCTGCCCATTAACTCCGTAGTAGCACAGAAATAAAGCAGCCCTCATCCTAACTGATTAAAGGAGCTGAGGCTTTCCCTCAAAGTTGTGGCCACTTGCTTTTGTCTATCATCTGACCACTTCCAAAGTCCCATACACTCACAAAGCTGGTCCCAAGGAGCCCAAGTTTTGCCAAATTCCTGTGTCAGGAATAAACATGGCCTTCAGTGTCTGTGAAACAGAAACAACATGGAAATAGTGAGGGGCCGGAGGGAGAAGTCACCAGTGCAGGCCCCTTTCCAAATAGTTGCTGCTCTAAACTCTTGGATTGTTTTCTGCCTCTCTCTAAACCCAGGGGCATTCATAGTCTGCTGGCTGCCCTTCTTCTTGATTCACATCCTCAATGCCCACTGCCCATCCTGCCACGTGCCTCCAGGGCTTTACAGTGCCAGCACCTGGCTCGGGTACGTCAACAGCGCCCTCAACCCCATCATCTACACAACCTTCAACACCGACTTCCGCAAAGCCTTCCTCAAGATCCTCTGCTGCTGACTGTGGGGCCACACTGGGCTGCGTGGGTCTGCAGCAGCCCCCTGGGAGGAGAAAAAGACAGGGACAAGCCAGTGAGTCCCTCAGTGCTGGGCACGGCCCTGGGTGTGCAGCAGATCAGCCACCGCAGTGCACCGCTCCTGGAAGCTGACAGGCTTGCAGGGCACACACGACACAAATGCAGATGGCATCCCTCATCTCTGCTGCCTACATGCTGGAAATGCATTTGCCCTCCCACAGCTGGAACCTCAGCCTGCAGAAGGCACCCAGCTCATGCACAGCAGTCCTAGTAAGAGGACAGAACTTGACTTCTCTGATAAGGATCCTGATCTCTTCAGTCAGGAGCCAAGAGTGAAAACTGGACAAGGAAACTTAGAAAAGGAGCACTGATGGAGAAATAACAACTTTCCTGTTGTTTCCATCAAAAGGTTTGCCTGTAAAACTGGGTCAGTCTAAGTGCTTGAGAAAATCGCCCTAGTTGCAAATGAAATCTTCCCTGTTGCTGCCAGCTTGTATTTTACTGCTCCTTGCAATGTAGAGAGGTGGCTGCTCTCCCTCTGGTAGGTCAGCTCACGTGACAAGTGCAACACTACCCCGGGGTCTCCTGTCCTCCTGACCCAAGGACCAGTGATAGATTGGCCACTGCTTAACTACCACACACCCCAGTGATCTACTGGGGCCGCCAAGAGAACAAGGCTCTTGATAGCTGCCGTAGATTCAAACCTGTTTTTTCAGCTGGTTGCATGCACCCTGTCTCTAAACTTGTTCACAATCTCCTTGGAACCAGTCTTCACCTGTGCTCCTCTCCTGACAGGAGCACTGCTAGATTTAGGGTTTGTACCACCTGGCTGCTGCAGTAGCTCCATTTACAGCCCATATCTGGGGGAGAACTGTTTCATAACATTCCTCCCAGTAAGAACAGATATTTGCCTTGGGATCAGCCCCAGGACTCGCCCCTTGCCAATACTCTTGTCTTCACATATGGCATTTGTATATCCCAGCATCCAGGAGCTGGCCAAATACAGTCTGGCCATGATCTCCTTTCCTATCACTATTCTACAAAGCCATCTCCAGTAGTTTCTGGATGAAAAAAACAGACAAGACCTGATGTACCATAAGCTGGTCTCGTGTCAGGGCACTCTAATGCTCTTCCCCTCACATAGACAAACCTGGCATGGGCCAGAGAACCTCAGCTTGGTTCTCTCATTTTGCCCCCTTGCTGTACTGGATCAGAGGCTTCAGCTCTCACTCCCAGGACCTGGCTTAGTTGTGCTGTCAGCCACGCTTGTTTGATAGCTTTGGGCATAACTCTGTGTGCTGCTCCTGTCTGTGTCTGTGCCACAGCTTCTCCATCTGGGAAGGGCTTCCTTTCTTTCCTAATATGAAGCCAAAGCCATTGTCCTCTGCCTCCAGAGCATATAGCAGAGCTCTAGCTGCTACTTCAGTTTGTCTGGGTTTTGGGAGGAGGATCTTGTGGAGAGCATGTGTCATTTGCCTGGGCAGGTGCCCTCCATACTGCATTGTAACTGCCTTAACCCAATAAAACACAAATGTAATTGGAAGTTTTGGTATCTTTGTGATTAATGTACCTCCTTCCATAAGCCTTTTGCCATCTGTAGCCCTCTTCACACTTTCCCTGTAAAAAATTATCATCCACCTGGACACCTGCAAGAAGTCTATACTATTACTTGCATTTTCCTTGCAACGGGGAAAGAAATCAAAGGCTGCTGTAAGCACTTCCAGCAGATGAATTCTGGAAATACAGTCAGTTCATTTCCCAGCTATGCCAGGCAGACATGCAGCAGTGTTACTCCATCTGCTCAAAGATGCTGGATAGCATGGGAAGCACTCAGCACACAGGATGGGGGAGGTATGAATCAAGTGAACCAACCTATGGACAGAAATTCTCGTGAAGATGCTTCATAACAGAGATCACCAGTCCAGTTGCTTTATATAACCATTGTCATAAAGGAGGAAATGAAAAGAAAGATCTTTTAAAGGATGACTAGGTCCATTTCAAGACCTGGCCTAGATACTCTCAGGGGTCAGTTTGATCTTACTTGAATTTGAACTGGTTCTTCAAGGAGTGATCCCCAAGATGATTCAGGATAGAGGTAAGAACAGGAGGTGTGGCAGAAAACTAAGCAGCATTTTGGTGTCCACACAGCTATAAGGGATGAGGAAAATTCTGTATCCAAACATATGGTCCTTTCTTTACTAAGATCTGAACTACCAGGTCACAGAACTGACTAGAGAGAAAAAAAACAAAACAACAAAACAAAACAAAACAAAAGGACATCACAAAACCCTCACACAGTTACAAAAACTTAACTCAGAACCAAAACAATCTCTGTCTCCCCCTCCCTCTAGTGCTGCTTGAGCACCATGCCCAGTTTTCGTCTGTCAATATGAACATAGGTGATCCCATAGAAAATGCCAAGGAACAGAAGCAATCAAAGGTGCAAGCAGTTGATGCCCCTCCATCCTCTCCAGCAAGCCAGAGAGATTGCTGAGGGCCCCCCAACACACACCCCCACTCGTTATTTACAGCAGAGCAATATGCATTCTCCAACTGCTCAATGTCTCCTACTAACCTTAATTTTCTACATTTTCCTCCTTGCTGTTTTGTTTTCCCTGCCTCCACAACTGGCTGGGAGAGGTGAGCTGCGATGCTGTGCTCTGCATTCTGTGGGGATTCATTTATGTGCTGATACTCACATTAGAAAAGCCTTTGGATAATGCAGAAACCTCTCCTGCAGAGAGGGGAAGGGAGCTCAGAGGCAGGCACAGGTTGCTGTGGCAGCAGGGCCGGCAGGTGTGCAGGTGCAGCACGGGGCCCTGCAGGGTGTACTCACCTCCACCAGCCCCACCAGGCAGCTGCAATGGGACACCTCAGGTCCCCTGTGCTGGAAGACATTTGTAAATGAGAGAGCAGCCAGGAAGCAGCTCCACCGTAGCTGAGGAGAATTAAGACCCTTTGGAGATGAAGGAGAGCTGGCAACACGCATCGGGAAGATCAGCCCCACCTCCCACAAGGTACAAGGTAGCCATCCAAGTACTGCCTGTCTAGACACATTTACAGCACGCCTGAGAAATGGACTGAAAGCACCATTTATCCCCTGCATCCACCATCTCCCAGCTCACAGAGCCATGGGCTGTGGCTCAGCTGCAGGAACCCAGATGGATGAGCCCACATATCCCACAGTTTGCTATTCCACGTGTACCTGGGGCTCCCCATCTGTGACAGATGTGCCACATGTTGCACGTTAAACCACAAAGTAACCCAAGTTACTAAAATCCTAAATGGTACCAGGCACTGAACTGAAGCCATCCAGAGATAAACCCAAAAGCTCTTATGTTGCATTTTACACTGTAAAATACAAATAGAGAAGAAACCATAAAACACTCTACTTTGTCAGAGGCATAACAGGCACCAGATCATGCAAGAATCTTTAAGCAGAAGAGCACAAAAGTCCATGGGCCATAAAACAAAACAATCTTCCATGAGAAGACAGTTGATTCCTGGAAAGGCAAGGAATTTATGGAGGAGGTGAGTTTCACCTGCCATCAAAGACCAATGCTCTGCAGGTGACACTGCTCAGTGAATATTCTGCAGGTACCTTGCAGCAGCTTTTGGACATGTTGTTTTAACAGTCCCAGCTGCAGATATTAAAATCCACATTTGCCAGACTACAAGGACAAAGCAAAGCTTTGGCAGAAAAATCTCACTTCTCCAGGTAACCCTTCTTAGATCCCTTAGGGGTTGGCCTGGCCTGGCCAGATGCTCAGCTGGACCCCACGGAGGGGCTAAGCACGGGGAGCTTCCCCCTTGGGAAGAGGAGCAAGTATACCTGGAGTCTGCCTCTCTGAGGGAGATTGGAGTGACAGGGGGTTCTCTGTTCCCAGCTGAGACCAGCATGACCTGCTCAGGATGGCAGCTTCCCTGGAAGACAGAGCTTGGCTGCAGCTTATTGCTGTTGCTGATGTTTTCTGAAGAATGTCTAATCAATGCCAGCATTTCAAGGAAGGATCAACAGCCTGCAGGCTGCTGATATGGTGACATTTAGAGAACTACAAATAGGAATTGTGGACAACCCAGAGGACACTGGTAGCAATCTGATTAGTTTCAGCTAAGTGTGTGATGGTTTGGTCACAAAGTGACAAACCCTGACAGCCTTCAGTCTGCAAACACACCTGGCTGTGAGGTGTCTCATCTAACAAGAATGGGCTCATCAGTTCTTTCTCTGGCCAATGCAAGTATCCCAAATCTGCATGAGCCTTTGAATGAGCCATTGAAATGAGTTTTTCCTTATCTAATGCTAATAATGAATTAACATTAGTATAACAATGTCATCTCCTGGCAGTATTTTGCCACCTGCCTCATGAGCAAAGGAAGGCTCACAAGACTATAGGAATTTAAAGGTGTGAGTGTCTCAAAACTGAACTTCTTCAAAGTCAGTATCAGCTGCTATGTACCTCTTGGTGAATGACATTGAACAGGATGTGGAAGATGCATCCCAGACCAATGCTGCCTTTCCATCTCATAAAGCCACTGATCCAGTTATTCTCTGTTACTTCCCAAATAGCCAATCTTAAAACATAGCAGTGACCTTTTTTGTTATGCCTTCCTGGCATCACTCATGCCATCTTTCTTTGGTTCTTTACTATCTCAAATGTCAGATCAGGAGCCCACCAGCTCTGATGCCAACCACACATTTCTACAACAGGGACACATTTTCTCTGAGGCCCAGGCCAGGAATTCTCCTGAGCTTCCTTCGTGATTCTGGAAGTGAACTTCTTCCTGCCTGACACTGGTCTTATCCCTGAATGCCTCTGGAAATGTGAGGCAAAGAAAACCCCTGGGGCCAAAGAAGAAAACGAACATAATTAAAAATTAATTTCTGTATAATGATTTAAGCATCACAGTGAGACAAGCATCAGGCTTGTTGTATCTTTGGTGATGTGGGGAAGACCTTTCTGGGTTCCTGCCCTAGGGACTCTTGTCAGTTTTAATAAGTTTTACTGCACAGCTGTGAGCATGGCAAATCGAACAACCCAAATAAAGACCACTTTTCACCAGACAGAAGCACAAATACTGAGGGAATCACATTTCTTTCTGCCATCCTATGTCATGGCAGAAGGGCTGTGGTGCAGGTGTTCTGCTCACCTTGTCATGCCTCAGCTGAGAGGCAGCAGCACTTCTGTCCCTCTTTGGGGGTGAGGTCAAGGGACGTGAGCGGGTGGTTGATGCTACAGGACTCCCCTGAATGTTTGTGATGGCACTGGCTGTGGGCAGCAGGGGAGCCAGGTACCAGAGCTGAGTCCAGCACAAAGTACCCCCATCAGCCTCAGCTCTGAAGGCTGCCAGCATTACTCTGTGGCCTTTTGCATTTTTGCAGCCATTGCTGAATTCCCTGATCCACAACAGAGTGCTTCTTCCTCCTCAAGATATGTGCAAAACAAGGGATGGAAAAAGGCACGTGCCAGGGCTTCTGCAACTACATGTTGGCAGTACTACCCACGGACATACTGCACAGCTCCCACTCTTTTTTTTTTGCTGGCCTTGCCAAATCCTAATCATCCTGTTTGCCTATGTTCCTTCCTCCCAGACGCTCCATCTATCTCCTGTTCCCTTTCTTGAAGAGGCTGCATCTCTTTAAAGGCTTCGGCTTCCTGCCAGTCTGTTCTCTCATCCCAGTTCCCTCAGCTTTGTCTGAGGAAAGCATCTGGCTTTCCTAAGGGCTGGTTTCTTCAGCTGTTTTTCAGCACACAGCACTACTGAAGTTGACATTACTTTGTAGATGGTTCCATTCTGGCCCAGGAAGGGCAGTATAAAAAAAGCTCAAGACAGATTCCTAGACTCTGCTGACTTCCTGCAAGATGCATCAATACCTCCCCTGATTACCTCATCAAAAGGCAAACCAGATGTTCTCCTGTGGAAGGAGGGAGCAGTGAGCACAAAGCATTGCTACAAAGCCACCTTCGTGTCACATATTACAACACATCCACCAGCGCTGAAAGGCAGCCAGCTCAAGAGCACCAGGTGTCACACATAGAGCACAGGAATGGGTCCAGGAACTCTGGCCAAAGGACCTTGGAACTCTCCTTTCTTTGTGAAAGTCTGTGCTGGGCCATTAAATATAAGAGCCGTCGGTTTTAGATCTTTTCTTGATCAGCACCCTGCAAATCAATCAACTCTGCGTGTACAGGCAGTAAGATACACCTTGTCCTGCAGAGCCTCTGGCATGAACCACTGCCATTGCCTTTCACAGTGACCACTCCCTTGAGCCAGAAAATGCTTTACACAGTAGCAGAAGCATCAGGAAGACAGAAGGCTGGTTAATCCTGACCTGTCTGGCAGATCCAAATGCCTTTATTTATAATTCCTTTACCTTTGGTCCTCACTAAATAGATTCCTAGATTTTCAGGCTTCAGAAGCTTGAAATAATCCCGGTTAACCACATAACCCCTTCTCATCCAAAACTGCTTCCCAAAGAGCTCTGCAAGACGTTCAGACACACAAATAGCTGAGAATAGACCAGGCTTTCTCCCAAGATTTTGT